TTGCTTTTGTTTTTGCTGTTTTATAAATAAATAAATAAAGCATAATAACTAAAATGGGCATGATTGATCATGCTGAATGCTATGTACTCACTTGTTTCGTAACGAAGAAAAATGTGCGTGACCATGCTTATATATAATTGTGCCGTTTTCTTTTGCATGCCAATAGCAGCTCCCAAAAGTAAACCTACCATTTATGGATTAGTTATAAAAGAAAATTTCACTTTCATAAATTGAACATGGAAACCTCGAGTGTAGGGTAACTGTTTTGACCACTTGAGTTACAAGCCCATGACACACATTAATAAATAGAAATTTATTGAACCTATATCGCTAAAATTTATACATGTATGTTTCACTCTGGTAGGTAAGTTGATATTGCTTTAATATGTTTAGCACATGTGATGTACCTATGTCAGTTTACCTATGGGTAAGTAAATTAACACTATGGTTTAATATCACAAAACATCCCTAAGGTTTATGAAACTATCATATTGCATTCTGAATGTTTTTTTGTGTCATTCGTGGTCCTCAAGGTTTGTATATGTGATCACAAGTCCCTACCGTTAGATTCCGTAAATAACTCTGTTAGTTTGCTGACGTGGCATATATATATATATATCACAAAACGCCCTTGAGGTTTACGCTTCTATCACAAATGGTCACTACGAATTTTTGTTTATTTTTTCATTTAAAATTCATAAAATTTTTGTTTTGTTTTTAAAATTATTTTTAAATATATATTGTATTTTAAATACACGTGACACTATATTTTTTAAGATGTGGGCTTCACATATATGACACATCAACAAACAAATGAATTTTTTTTTTATAAATAATTTAAAATTCATAAAATTTAAAAATGAAAAAACCATTTATAGAAGGATTTTAACCTTGAGGACCATTTATGCTAAACCCTTGGTTTTTCCATTTTCAAATTTTATTAATTTTAAATTATTTTTAAAAAACTCCATTAGTTTGTTGATATGGCATATATGTGGAGCCCCCATCTCCTATAATATAGTGTCACATGTATTTAAAATACAATATATATTTTAAAATTAAAAAATTAAAAAATTTCATGGGGACCATTTGTGATAGGTGCGTGAACCTCAGGATGTTTATATATATATATATGCCACGTTAGCAAATTAAAGGAGTTTTTGACGGAACCTAATGGCAGGGACCATTTGTGATTACACATACTAACCTTGAGGACCACAAATGACACAAAAATACATTAAGGATGCAATCTGATAGTTTTGTAAACCTTACGGACGTTTTGTGATATTAAGCCTTAACACTATTAAAGCATAATCGTTTATAGCTCAAGTGGTTAGGAGTATTTACTAGTGCACCCGATATCCTAGACTTGATTCCTCCCTCCTCCAATATGGCTTGTATAAATAAAAATAAATTACTTGTCCACAAACAACATGTACAAATTTATTCTTAAGTAGGACTTTGAAATAGTTTAGAGTCCACAAAGCTGTAGCTAAATATGTTTATTTCATACGTGTAACTTCACTAATTTTTATCCAAGTGTGACTTTTCATCAACTTTATGGGAGAAGAAAACCTTGACAAATTTTTCCATTCCTATTTTCTCAAGTTTGGGGTTGAGAAACATTACAACTGAAATATGTCCAAATGCCTTAATTTAGAGCATTAATTTGGAGTTAAACTGAAGAATGTGCATTCAAACCCAAGAGTCCTTTTCATTCCTTATGATTCCAAACCCAATGTATGGTTGCCTTCTTTGGCTATAAAAACTAGATTGTATTAATGATCTAAAATTAGTAAAACTACAAAATGGGGAATAATTTCCATTACCTATCTATCAAAGATATTAAAGAATCGTGAAAAGAAAAGGCTCTATGCAAATCCCATAACAAAGGGACACTAATAAACATTAACTAACCGAGGCTGAGCAGCCCCAATTCGATCAAAAAGAAGCTCAGTGTCAACACAAGGGAGCAATTTCAAAAGTTTGACACGAACCTACATCCAAATCATAACTCAAATTTGCAAGGTAATCCGCCACATATTTTTTTTCCTGATAAACGTGGGTCAGCACACATCCAATCTCCTGCATCAGTTCTAAGCAATTCGACATTAAATCCCTGTAAGGACATGAAGCCAACTTATGAGGATTCTGCAAGAACTTGACAGTAATTTCAGAATCGTACTCCACTAACACACATGAGATTCCCTTTTCCACAACCAACTTCAAGCCATGGTAAAGACCTTGAAGCTCAGCTTCCAAAACTCCACCCTTCCCAAGATTCACAGCAAAGCCAACCAACTATTTTCCTTCGGAATCTCTTATCACACCACCAGCTCTAATCAAACCCCTCCTGTGACAACCGTCAACATTAAGCTTAAAATAGCCATCTCGTGGAGGCTCCCATGCTAGAAGGTTCAGTGACTTTTGAGAATCTTTAGAATGGGCATAAACCGATTACTTAACAGTAGCAAGGATAGTCTTTCTTCCTCGAAACCAATCTAAACTTAGACGTTCTAGTGATAATTTAAACTTGTATACTCTTTTACCCAAGCACCTATCCACTAGCTTCATGAAACTATCAACGTCATTTGGTAACTCCTTCCAATGTAGAATCTTGATCAAGTACCCTAAATCATAAAAACCAAGGGAAGTCACCCATATTAAATGGAACCTTCTGTCTTGCGCCATCCTAGATTTCAGCATCATTGTCACAAAGTCGAAAGACAAAATACCCTTTTCCTTGTTCCCCAATAAATCAATTCCTTGCCCCTTAAGCAACTCAATTGCGTTTGCATCTACGTTGTGAAAGTCCCGGTAGATGTTGAAGTCCCTGAAGTTGAATTCCTAGATGTAGCAGCAATCGGTGCATAAATCGGGCAAGTTTTCATCTTCGTCTGAGAGTGTTAGACGCAATTGGATGATGTTCCTAACGTTCACACTGTCCTTCATGATTTGTATTGGTCTTCCAGAGAATCAGCTTCAAAAAGGGTGAATGAGAATTTAGTTTCAAAGGAGACAAAAAGGTAGTCAACAAATGCATCCTTAACTAGAGCAAACTCGGAATCTAAATTGTGCTGCCAAACGCTTCGAATCTCGACTCTCTTATTCATCATTATAAACTAATTCTGGGTTTGGCCTTCTTCAAAATTTTCTCTGTTGTTTCTCTAATGGTCTATGTTCTTCTTGAATATTTTTTGTTGAATGTTAGTCTTCACTGAGGACATCATTTATATAGAGAGTGGGTCGATGCTACTTTAGTGAAACAAATGAAAACACAAAAGAAAATGGGAAAAGTTTCTATTTCTCGGCGTGTTGTGAGGGAACCAAATCCCATAAGAAAATGGATTCAAAACTGAAAACACATGCTGTGGTGGATACATCATTTATATGTATTGTTATTTTCTCTCTTTTTCACTTTTCTTTTGTTGTTGGTCTGAATTATTTTTAGGGTTCGTTATTTCGTTTCCTAGTGCAATTAGGAACGTCAAGCTCATATGTAAAAAAGTAACGAAATGGGGGGAGAAAATCTTGTTTTTTTTTTTTTTTGGGAATGCAAGTTGGAGAAGCACTAAATCTAGCCTTGCAAGTTACATATGTCCGGGAGTAAATTATTTTCATGAAGTTGGTTTTAGTAACAATAAAAGAAATGAAAAATAATTCAAAATTTTAAAATATTTTTGTCAAAGAAGAAAAATATTGATAGCTACTTTTGAGTTTATTGACATTGTATATGGTTGTATGACTGGAGTGGCCTATGATCCAATTCTATTTTTTGACATTCTTTTATGAAAAAGAGTTCAGCCGAGCTTCTGGATTTAGCATCGGTGCATTTATACACATTTCAAGGAATATTAACCATGAAATTAATCCAATAAATTTTAATAAGTCCACATCACCATATTTGTACTAAAACTCAACAATTTCCACCCTATTATATGTATTTATTACCATTGAAATAAATAAATAAATAATCCAATCAAGCATGCACCACCTCTCTCCCCAACCCAGCCACTGCACTGCTTGCCAATTGCCACCCCCAATGGCGGAGCCAGCTAAGTCCCACAA